CGAAGCTATACAGTACAAAGTATATTATTACTTTTAGTTTAGTTTCTGAATGAGAAGTATCATAGATTTCATTGTTAGAATCTGATATGATTGGTATGGTGTTATATTTGTAGAAGTATCATAGATTTCATTGTTAGAATCTGATATGATTGGATGGTGTTATATTTGAGAAGTATCATAGATTTCATTGTTAGAATCTGATATGATTGGATGGTGTTATATTTGAGAAGTATCATAGATTTCATTGTTAGAATCTGATATGATTGGATGGTGTTATATTTTGCCGTAGAATACAACTTCGCTATTCTCTCACTTTCTCTTCGAATGCTTCACAATAATAGAACTTGGCGCCAGCAACGATCGCTATTCTACATGTCTGCTCACTGTGTATTATCGTAAATTCTTGCGACATATCGAATTAAAAATAGTGACATGATACACATATCGTATCTTTATCAAACAGAAGTTGCAGTACCTTACTGTGTCTTAAATGTCTGTATAAAGTTCTAAACACTGCTGACAGATGGCGGCACAACAGTCGGCACTAAGTTTTAATCAATCACTTTATTTTCATTTTTTGTCTCAGTTATACTCTTCTTGTATTGAAAGTATGCTGTAACCGTGTCTTAAATGTCGGTATAAAGTTCTAAACACGGCTGATAGATGGCGGCACAACAGTCTGCATTAAGTTTGATCAATCTCTATTTTCATTTGTTGTCTCAATTATACTCTTCTTGTATTGAAAGTATGCTATTCTCTGCAATTAAAATGTAATCTCAAGTAATTTTTTGTGTCATTTATTGGGTTATTTTGACTTAACAAGATCTGAAGAACTCACAACAGATCGCGGTGATTGACAAAGAAATGTATGAATCCGCTTTTTTCTTTGTTTTTTTTTTTGGAAGTAGTATTTTTTTCTTATTACATTATCTATAATGAAATACAATATATTTCTTATTTGTTGCTTAATTAACTAACTGATCACATTTTATTAAAGACTAAATCGTTTTCGCCACACACAAGTACTGGCATAATCCACTTAATCCAATATGTTAAACGTTATCGTTTCGTTTTCGCCCCAAACTAGTACTGGCATGATGATCCAGTGAATCCATTTTGTTGAATCCATTTGTTTGTTGGTAGAAATGTTGAAAGTGAAAATAGCAGAATACGTGAAGAAATTACAGCAGTAATAAAAAAAGTAAAAAGAAGAGAAGACTCTCAGATTGCGAGTCGAGCACCCTAACCACCAGGCGTGAAAGGAAGGATCCTAGGTTGAGCTAGTAGAGGGCTCTTTAATTAATTATACTAAGAGATTTATTTATATTTGAGTGCACAGATAGATTAGAACCAGGCCCTTCGAGAGACTGGGGATATTTCCCCAGGACACACTGCCAACCAAAGGACTACAGCGGCAAAAAATGTTTATGAAACGTACAAAATCAGTATGGAATGTTTAAGCAAATATTAACCACGTCATTTATGCGTGTACGTGGTACCATTCCAAAACCTATGCGGGGAAGGCACATACCAGGATTTCTCTCTGGAGTCCATCATGGACTAGAACTTGTTTACTAGGGTTCGATTTCATCAATGAGGTGTAGATTGATAGCCAGCATTACCACGTCCAATACAATTTTTTTTAATTCACGTTGTTAGCATCAGTGCAGATTTCTATCGAAAGTAGCTACACCAGCATAAGGCTCTCGTAAAAGGTGTATACACATTGAAGATAGGGGGGTGTAATCCCTGGCTTTCAATTTCAGTTTTTGCTTGTACTTGAAAGTGATAAGATGCATCGAGATAAAACTTTAGTGACAAAGAAATAAGAAACCTGTTAGAATTAAACTCCAATGTACTTAAAAGTGATAACATGTCCCGAGAGAAGAATTTTAGTGACAGAGAAATAAGAAACCTGTTGGAATTAAATTCTAAGTTAAAAGCTTCACTCAAATTATTACAAAAAAAGAAGACAGACTCATAAATAAATGCTTTATGTGATCAAAGTCAGACTGTCGTGGAAATAAAGCACAGATGAGACCTTTTATCAAGAATTTAAAACAAATCTAGTCGAAAGAATCCAAAAACTGGAGACGGCCCTAAACCGACGAAGGGCCTTATACGGACATTGTTTCCCCGAAAGGGGGCCAAAGACCGCCTGAAAGGATCCTCGGTTTTAACCACTCGCACCATTATACTGTAGTATATTGTCTGTCAGTAGACGTTAAAATGACATCACATAAGGGACGCTTAACGTTTCAACTTGTACTGTCGTGACGTCAGTAATACGTGCGTATGCTATAAATCACGAGAATAATTATGCATTCTGTAGGCCACAACACAACATGACATATGAACTTGAAAAACAAGAAATAAAAATATTTGTTACTCGTAATTTTCGTTTCATTTACTCTTTAAACAGAACATTTTCGGAGACCTTGCGGAAGTACATCTAGTAGTAGATATAATTGAAGATAATTGGTCTTCCTTAACGGGAAATGCGTTGAGTTACAATAGTTTTCAAACATGAACGTTTCGTCAAAACATTCTCCCTCTTGCTATTAAAAGTGGGTGGGCAATGGCCCGTTGCGCACCCACAACCCTCCGTCTTCGATGCCTATGGCTAAAACCGAACCCCAAGCTGCATCCGTAGAAGACGTGGACATAAGTTGGAGAGAGAAGGGGGTGTAGGGAATTCAACACCATTGGGAAATGATGAAATAAGCGAAGCCGGAAAGACTACAAAAGTGGAAGAGGGGCAGCAAAACTAAAAATCGTGAAATATTTCTGAGCGAGTCATATACGGTAACTGTTACCCCCGGTTAATATATGAACTAATTCTTTGATGTTCATTGCATGAACAAATACTATCTGAATCACAAAAAAAAGTACGACATCATGACATCAGCTTTTGAAAAATTATGTGCGCTGTATCCCCACAAATTTTCTCCAACGTAGAACTATAACTTAAATGTGGAGATTTTAAATTTTCTTTTGATATAATTTTATTAATATTTGTTTTGGATGAAAGAGTTGGAAAAAAATCAAAACTTTAGTCCTAGTTGTCCATTTGTAGCCTCCTGGTGGCATTTTTATTCAGATTATGGAATTAAATAAACGTCTTGCCCGCGCAGAGACAACTTCAACAGACGACACAAAGAAGGAAATGCGTAGAGTTACACCAATTTTCAAGCATACAAGTTCCATCAAACAAATCTCCCTCTTGCTATATATTAAAAATGGGTGGGCAATATTTGAGGTTTTAGAGATGCGACAGATATTTTATATTTAAATCATTACTTCAAATCAAACTAAAGTCTGTGCTGTGCTGTGCCTACTATTTGGCAGACGTAGAAACGCTCCTCTCAGAGGAACTGCGGGTGCACACAGAAAAAAAAATGGCGCCTGACACAAGTTAGACGTAACACTTACGTCTTGGTGGTTTACTCAGGCCCTTGTGACGTTATTAATAAAAGATCTAAAAAATTAATTATCAACCAGATAAAACACTGGAAGAGCGTGATCTCAGAGATTTGGATATAGAAATCACTGGTTAACATTTATATTACTCCTTCCTCGTGTTTAGACGTGGATGAGATATTTTAGTAAAGGTGCAAAATATTACCAGTGATAAGTATGGATTACCTTAAAAGGTGGATAAGTGTGTGTGGGGGGGGAGAGACTATCCAGCAGGTTGGAAAATAAAGGTGCTTTCTAAATAACTTTATTAGAGCTTTTTAAACTAAGTTCAGACAGAAAAGCTCTTGAACCTCAGTGTATCATATTTTGGACTACAGACAACAATAAGATATTTTGTTAGATATTTTATTCCAAGAACACAATAAGAAGATTAATTTGTTTTATAACAATTCTAAAAGTATGCACAGAAAGTTATTGATGGGGAGGGGGGATAAACTGAGAAATCGATGTAACATTTGTTTGTGAGTCTACCTTTTACAGACATAGCGAAGTGTAAAATTGGTCATATTGGTCACATTTGACTTATGTAGAACTGATAAATGATCATATGTCGTGTGTGACTTTGAAGAAAAAAATAGAAAGATGGTCATCAGAACAGTAACGTGGCGATAATTTGTTGTTGTTTTTTCATACAGTCTTTCTATAAATAAAAGTTATTAAATGTTTTAAACAACCATTTTATGGTAATGGTAGTAATAGTCTGCTCAACTCGATGAGAGTGGAAAAATACTTTATTTATTTTTAATCAAACAAGTTAGTATGTTGAAACAATAAGCCAGTAAAAGTTTGCCGATATTTCGTTAAACAGAATATTTCTACGTACTTCATTATTTAAAAATATACAAAACGTTTCGATTAGACAACTTGTAACAAGTCTCCTTAATAATAGTAATCACCATCAAAATATTATCAAGCTTATGTTAAACTTAAATATTTGAACTTGTGTTTCGTAACTTTAACCAAATTATACACAAATCCATATAAATAACATAGATATCCTCAGTATAAAAATCTTAAAACATAAAAATAAAATAAAATACACGTGTAAGTAATAATACTTAAGCAGCAGCTTTTGGTCTTTTCATATTGCAAGTTTGTTCGGTAACTTTGTAGTCTTATTCTTATGTAAAACTTTTGCCAACTGACATTGTATGCAAATTCTTCTTACATTACATTCAGACTAAAAGTTATATTTTAAAGCTTAAAGATTGTGTTATGACATATGAAGCAAAATAACAAACATTTTGAATGATTCTTCTACCTCATTCGTTGATTATTTGAATTATTATAATTTTAGGATTGCATTTAGTTATATATATATATACTTGGCCTACTTCCCAAGATTACAAGATCTTTAAAGTTACGCCCAAGATTTTCTTGGGCTATCTTTCAGTTTGAGCATTCATTTACACAATTAATTAATTAAGCATTAATTGAGAACAAGCATTTTAGCAATTATAATAATTTCTCTCTTAGATACATGTAAAGTCACATTAATTGGTAATCAAAAGTAATTCAAAATAAGGGGTAAATATATTTTCAGAGCTAAATATTGTAAATCTGAACTCGTGTACAGGTCAATTTAATAAATCCTGATTCTTATCTGATTTTAAAATACATATAAACATTGGATAAGTAATAATTTTGTTTTGTCTATTGTTGAAGTCTCATTACAACAAGTTAGATGGAGTATGCCAAAAGAAAATTGTCTTGTTTTTTATTTTCTTCTCTTCTTTTTTCCTAGCTGGGATGAAACTGTTCATTAAATATTAGCGCCTGCTATTTATCAGGTATTTACAGCAATGAGTCAGCAAGTGTTTATCAGAGGTTGCAGAGCTAGAGGTCATCTCCCGCGTGTAAATGTCCATGCCATATTGTCCTTCCTCTGGAAAGGTCACAAAGAAGGTGACCATCTCGCCATCTATTGCATGAGACACGTATTTTGATAATGTCTTCTCCTCCGTCCCATTTTTATGTAGAGTTGCTATAAAGTCCGTAAGAGGGCGCGACATTCGAAACTGGACCTCCAAATCACGGGCAGAAAAGATCAATGCGTCGTCATGAGTGAGAGGAATAAGACCAAACAATCTGATTGCCTTCATGGGTCCCCATTCTCCGCTAGCACAGTCTGGTAAAGGGACCATTACCGTTTGAAGATCTTCACAGACAATTTTAAACTTACAAACGCTCTTGAATTTCATTGGTTCTCCAGTAAGATACTCTTGAGGAGTGACAGCGTTAGCAAAAACATCCAGTAAAAAAGCACCACCGCATGGAGCGTGTACTCTGAACGATACAACGTTGTCTACAACGGACTGCATAACAAATCTCTTGAGGCTTACACCATCATACGTGGTGATATCGCTATCAAAGAATTTTAAATTGTAATGGAATATTAGACTCGATGACATATGGTACGGCATTCCAATTCGAACCGTGATGGCGCCACTGCTATCAGTGTATAATACTGCCTTGGTTTCTTCGTCAGACATGTATAAACCATATCGGAAGAACAGTGACCGCACGAAAGGAAGAGTTTCAAAATCTCTTAAGCTAATTGGTCTTTTTAACAGCTGCCACTCTGTTTGAAGAGGGAAGAATTCATAAATGAACTCTTTGGGATCCGTAAGAAAATAATGGTCGTCATATTCGTATCGTAAAGAATCTTCTTTGTTCTTGCTACCTGGCTTGGGAACTTCTTTAGCGTTCACCAGATGCCGAGCACCCCAGTTACACTGCACAAAACGCCATGCTCCAGCAACGTATACGGCATTCCAGGAGTTTCGGAAACGATTGTCTTCAAATAGTACACCTGGTTGATAACCAGCGCTCTTCGAATAACCTTTGATTACAACGCAGTGAAGTCCAGCATAGCTATAACAAAACATATATGAATTAGTCTGTTGACAAAAATGACCATTCATAGCCATTCACTAAGTGTAAAACGTTTTTCGTATACCCTTGTTCAGAAGACGTTCGATGTTTATTCTAAACACTTTAAAGTTTCTTTATTTTTTATTCAACATGTCAAATGAATTACTTTTTATTAAATATTTATTAACCAAATTTCAGCAGGGGCACACAGCTAAAAAACTGAATAATCCACGATATTCCATTAGTCCAAGACAACATCAACTGAATTCTTAAGGTTACTGAGTACTTTATTTGAGAGATGAAGCTTATTTATTTGTTCCAGAATTTCCGCGCAAAGCTATGTAGAGGATTATCTGGGAATAGTCATCCCTTATTTTAAACTGCTAGATTAGAGGTAAGGTAGCTAGTCAACAGCGCCCCCTGACAACTCTTGGTTTACTTTCATCTTACAAAATATTTGGATAGGACAGGATAATAACTGGAATGGTAATTATTCTAGCGTAACCACGACTTCAAAGTGTGAAGGGTATTTTTATGGCAACGTGTTGCGAACCATAACCCTCGGATTCACAGTTTAGGCAATTAACTACTAAACCACACCTGGGCGAAAGTTTATTGTCTAGTGGTCCTCATCCATGAGCAACATTTGTTAAAACTTGATATGTGTATTTCGAACTTCAGTTTGTACATACACTAAACACAAAGAAATGTCACTCGATTTTAGCTTTATGTTCATCAAAATAAATAATCGATTTAAAAGAAGTTGATATTTTAACGGAATTGAAAACCATTCGTCTAAATGCTACACAAGACAGCGTTCTCTACCACTCCGGTTTGTTTGCTTTGAATTTCGCGCAAAGCTCCACGAGGGCTATTTGTGCTAGCCGTCGCTAATTTAGCAGTGTAAGACTAGAAGGAAGGCAGCTAGTCCTCACCAACCACTGCCAACTCTTGGGCTATTCTTTTACGAACGAATAGTGGGATTAACCGTCACATTATAACACCTTCATGGCTGATTTGGTAGAACGGGAATTCGAACCCGCAAGTCGCAGATTGCGATTCGAGGGCCCTAATCGAGGCCTCTACCACTCTTTGAGCATCCTTAACTGTGTATATTACATTACATTATA